TTTCATACAGAAGTAGTACCCTATTCCTATCACAAAGAACAGCAGTTCTCAAACTTTTTAAAGCAAGATAAAATTCTAAACTTGCTCCAGTTCTTGGGACTCACTTGCAAAAGTAAGGTCCCTGCCACACGGCAGGGGAAAAACCGCCAAAAAGCGTGGCTTTTAAAAGCCGCGCCAAAGTTCAAACAGCGTGGCGGGATCCCACAGATCCCCTGGCCGCGCCACCTTTCTCCCCGGCACGATCAGACGCCGGGGAGAAAACACAGATCGGACGGCGAGCCAGCCGAACTGCGCATGTCGGAGCATGCGCAGTTCGCCTAGGAGCCGGGGGCGCACCGGCGATCAGACTCCCAGTTTGCGGCGCACCATTGGGATGAACCACCTCGGTAGGTGGTTCCAACTTGAAGTGGTTTATCGCGTGGATGGGCCAGTTCGGGGACGGAAGCACTACGCTTCCCAGATGTTGTGGTGTGATCGCAGCCATTTGCTCCGCCCCCGAACCGTCCCGCTCCCGGCTCAAATCCCCCCCGTGTGAATGGGACCTAACTATGCTTCCTTCCCCCTCCTGCAACATAAGGCATACTGTAGAGGTTTATGTTTTTTCACTTTTAGTATTTAGAAATATACACCACTATTGGACAAGGTGCCATATCATGAAGGGACAAATCCAAATTGGCTATCAAGCCTCCTTTTCTCCCTACGGATTTTGTTCTACTCCCTTTCTTCTAGCCTTGAAACCCATTTGCAAGGGTCATGAGCCACCACTTTATTTAATTTTACTGTACTTCCCAATCTTTTGAGGCAAGTGACATTCACTACTATATCTTGATTATCCTCAAGGCAGAGTCTCCTATTTCTGTATATCTCTTCACACTACAATGACTGAGAAATGGGATCATATGGACATCATCACAGGGATCAGAAAAAGAGAATGAAAATTTTGATGTTTCTCAATTCCACTAATAGCCTCTTCTCCTTTAACAGTTATTTGCAGGCAACTGATCAAGGCTGCAATCCTAAACACACTCTCCTGGGTGCAAGCCCCTTTGAACTGTATAGGCCTAATCTGTGTAGATCTGTTTAGGATTGCACAGTCAACACTAGGAACATCAGCTGATAAAGTGGCTCCTCCCTCTCTGCCTTGGACAGTGAAAAGATTTGCAGACCTCAGGGGACAAAGAAAGGAGACATCTAATTGTAAGCATTCCAGAGAGTGAAACAGGATAAAAAACAAAATAAGAGTTAGAATCTGGGTGTGATGCTCCTGCATAGCTATGATGTACTGCACTTTCCCCAAATTTATTATTTTTATGTAAGCCACCTTTGGCATAAAAGCCCTGAATAACATTTAATCAATTAAGTAAATAAAACTAATAAGATGCCAAATAACTTAAAATAAGTTTGTTTGACCACCCATTGTTAACATAGCAGTGTATAAACTTTCAAGGTTAAAACACCAAGATACGAGTATCTGGCAGAGTTAAGTGTAAACAAAACTAAGTACTGCATTTACCTATATAACTTAAAGGTAAAGGTAAAGGTTCCCTTGCTCGAAAGCCAGTCGAATCCGACTCTAGGGTTGCGGTGCTCATCTCCAGTTCAAAGCCGAAGAGCCAGCGCTGTCCGAAGACGTTTCCGTGGTCATGTGGCTGGCATGACTAAACACCAAGGCGCACGGAAAGCTGTTACCTTCCCACCGAAGTGGTCCCTATTTATCTACTTGCAATTTCTTGCTTTCGAACTGCTAGGTTGGCAGGAGCTGGAACTAGAGATGGGAACTCACTCCATCATGTGGAAACTGGGTCTCGAACTGCTGAACTACTGACCTTCCACAGCCTGCAGTTCAGCGTCTTAACCACTTGAGCCACCGCAGCTTCCCGCCTGCTAAACTTAAACTTAACTTAATTTAAACACTGCTAAAAAAGGGACTAACCTTTTATATTACTTGGTACAGTTACGATAATTTTTCATTCTTCTAGCCGCTACTAATCTAGATTTTCTAGATTCCATTCTACTTAAAACAGCTTTCTTCAAACCAGATAATCTTGGAGACATAATTTAACAGGATCTGATCCCCAAGATGCTTTCAGGGAGTTCATAAAGGCAACATCCCTCCTCCTTCCATCAGCATCTAGCATTCAAATGCATACTGCCTCTGAACATGAAGCTATACACAGGTGGATCAACAGAACATCCAAACTCCTACAGACTCACAGATGGACAAAATGTCCCCAAGTCACTCTCTTATTTTGCAGGCAAGTGATGTTATGCTCAGTATACATGACAACTCACTGGAGCCTTTTTCATAAAAGCCTTCAGATCCTGGCCATATTGTTGAAAAGAAAAAAATATTCAAGCCCCTTACATGCTGCTGTTCTGTACATTGATTACTCTGAAATGTACAATCTCGGCTGTGGATATGGATTCTAGGGATCATGTGAAGAAAAATAATCACTGCACTGCTTTATATTACAGTACTAAGAACAAGATTTTTATACAATTGTTCATTATGAAAGAATGCACTGAACTCTGCTGACCGCTGAAATGATGCAAATGATAAAAGCCCCAGCACAACCATCCAATGGAAAACAATGCCAAGTCAGACACTGGCAGTTATTTCAAGGGGGAACAGAGATTCCCCACTAGGTTTTTACAATAAAGAATCTAAAGCGCTCCTGCGGGTGGGAGGAAAGCATTATTCTAATTTACTAATTATAGAGCAATTCTTTAGTTCTGAGAGTTAGCTAATAATGAGAAGTATACAATGGAAAAAACTTCAAACAGTACCACATAAATTGGGGAAGACGCTTCACAGATTAAGGAAATACTACATTAAGGAGATACAATCACCATCCTACAATTCAGACACCAATTGAGACTCTCTCACAAATTTACAAAAGGAAAGATCTGCATCATTCTAACTATACCCATCAATGAGGGAGAGGAAAGAACATAAGCACAACCTACTGACTAAACACATCCCAGTTCTTTTCCTGCAGCAAATTATCTGAACCGAGGCACCATTCATAACACCCATTCTTCTTCAGGCTTGTTCCCTCCTTTTGCAAATTTAATCTGGGGTCTCCTGAGAGGAGGGGGCAATCACAACAGCCACTTCTTCAAGAGCCTTAACATTTCCATGTGTGGCATGGACAACAAAACAGCATCAAATAATTGGTTTGGCTTCTGTATCAGCATTGTACACATTTATGTATGTTCATAATTATAGATTAGCCGATTTACTATGCCACTGATTTTTTTTTAATCAACCAGTCAAACTGCAGGCAAATAACTTCCATGGTACACCACTTTTCATTCATGCTGTCCCATTTTATAGGTTAGTATTTCCCGACCGGCTGGTCTTGATCTGAAAGTGGCCTTCAGGTTTTTAACAGCTCCATGGATCTGTGTATGCTCTGTTCTTTTCAAGAAGGTCACCATAAAAGGTTGGGATCCACTGTCGTAGGGTTAGGAAGAGGTGTCACAAGCACTCCCAAGAGACAATGCTCCAGTATTTCAATACTGAGTCACACCACCCAAAAGAGGACCCTCCCCTTGTGCTTGGAAAACCTGATGGAGGATCCCAATGACTGCTGCACGCTTTGCCAGACCATTTCCACAGTAGTGAAAATTCCATGCGTTGACACTTTTAAAACTGTGCATTATGTGACATTTCCCGCAGTAGATTTTTCCTCACCCAGCGCAAACCCAGAGTTTTCTCCTCATTATCCCGCATTTTTGGAATCCTCCGTTTTAGCGAGTTCTGAAGACGTGAAGCAAGAACGAAAAAACGTCGGGTTTGTGCCTGGTGAGGAAAGATCTATTGTGGAAAATGTCACATAATGCGCAGTTTTAAAAACGGGAAACATCACCAACTGCAGAAATGGTTCGTGTCTATCTCCCAGGGAGTGGATCACAGACAGTGGGAAATGAGCATTAAAAACAACAACAACACAACCCAAAAACAAGAAAGACAGACGTGCACGGGGAGGAGGAGAATCAGGACAAGAAAAAAAGGAAAGCAGAAGTCAGGAAGAGCAAAGAAGGCTCAGGCATGGGCTCCATCCCTTGAAAGGCCGGCGTCTGAAAGGACCAGGGCGGCGGGTGAAGAGCGAAGGGCGGGAGGAAGCGATGGGTCAAGCAGGGGGAATGGCTGAGGTAAGGGCGGGG